GAAATGCCAGGGTCCCCCAGGGTTCCAGAGTCCAGATCCACGGTTCCCATCTTCACCAGGCACGAAAGAAGCTCACACGGAACACCAAAGCAATGCACTAGCTAGGCCACTGGTTAATGGTCGAAACGCAGAGCGTTGAATTGCTAACCCCAGATCACATCGAGCACAGCGCCCAGAAATCCCCCGCAGTCCGCCCCCGTGGCCAGCTAAATCCTCCCCGAGGCCCAAACCCGAACCCCCGCAGGGCTCCATCCAAAAGACAGGGAAAGGGTGCGACATCAGATCAGCAGTCATGAGTAAGAGCAGTAATGAGTATCAAGGAATGGAGAAATGCGCTGGAAGGCAGTAAATAAGGCGCTCCAGTAACGATGGGCCCGTGATGAATAACTGCGCGAGATGGTTTGTCCCTGCCAATCTGGTTTGAACCAGAATTGGCAGGGCTTCTTATTTGGTCGAAAAAACTTACCAAAAGCCACTTGGATCGCAAGAAAAAACAAGACCTCTAGACAAGTCTGTCTAGAGAAAAAAATTTTTAAGTTTTGCAGATTTAGGTAGGAAATTGATCTTTACAGGAACAAAAATTTATTGGTTATAGAACTTTTTAACTCGTTAAACAACAAACAACAAAAGGCTGTGATACGAGTAGGCGTACACAGTGCACAGATACATAGTGTGTTCAAACTTATTGAACTTCAGGTTGAGAACTGGGGAGTGTAATAATAATCAAGACAAAAAAGGCGTGCAAACACAAATTAAGCTATCTATTACTTACGCTGTACGCATATTGGCATAATAGTCGAATAATGAGAATGCATACACAAATTAATAAAATTTATGTCCTCGTAATCCGTCCCACTATGATCGTATCCAACTAGATAACATCCATAAACTGAAAGGTAACGACAGGTGCCGGAATTTCTCGATATTCAGAAATTGCGCCGTACTCAAAGCCAGGTATTAAAAAGTACGCAGCAGATTTTAATACACACACCGCCCAGCAAATTGTTGCTATACCATCGGTTGGCTTATCATGATTAATTTTCGCCGTTATGTACAACGGGCTAAGCAATAAGCTACCAAAACAAGAAGATAAGGACCCTGTGAATGTAATGGTGTGTATACTGTATGTATAGTATATGGCGCCAGTTTTTTTGGAAAAACAGCGAAGTTGAAACGCACGTGCGTATAACAGACAATTGCGTCGAACCGGCACCAAAGCAGATTAATCATTAAAACACGACACCGTTGGCCACCCTGCTGGATCAGGTCTGTGTCAAAACACGAGTGTAAAGCGCGTTAGAAAGCGCGGTTTCACTCGGTAACAGCTAATATTCTCTCTAATAACAGCCATATTCTCTCTTCAGAATTTAATGATCTCGTAATGTTTATACAGGCAGTAACAAATTATTATCACTACAGTTCCAGCTTTCCTTCCGGTCCGGAACTGTTTGTCTTCAATAATACTGCATGGCGTGGAGTGCTGCTGCCCACTGGGTATGTTTGATTAGATCATTAGAATTGCAGTGCTGAATCATTATTATGAGATGCAGTATTAGTATCGTTAAAAATAATTTTCTATTTACATTTAGCACGCGGTCAATCTAATTCGTGCTTCGCGCTGTGTTATTTCAATTTCGTTACTTGTACACATAATTAGCGCTTTGACGTACTACAAGCTTATCCCGTAATTTCCATCGTAATGTATAGATAGCACGTACTCTGCATATAGCGTGAAATTTTCGTTATAATTTCTGCCACTACGCTACGTCTACAATGGCAAATTTACTATTTAAGGTGAAGTTAATATTTTATTACATAATTCAAAATCGATGGTTCTTACTCGTAATTTATGTAGATCGATATTTGGCAAGTATCAGCCATGCCAAATGAGGCCTGTCGATCGTAAAAAATATCCCGTGACGCGCTGTCGTATGGAGTTTAACATAACTCGTGAATTTATATTTTGTCGCTGTGTATGTAATAGAAATGTTAATGTATGTTATAGAAATTACGGGACAACCTTGTAAACGTAAGCGCAGTTTTTGGTAATAACCATTGGCACACTCCAGTCTTCAGTAGGACAACGTTGCACAGCATGGACTGAGTATTCATACCAGAATGTATTTTACTGTAGAGTGACAGTGGTACGAATTTTAAGTTTGGGATTATTACGTGTCTCAGGTGTCTGTTTTTCTACTTTGTTGCACTATTATACTGCAGTGCGGTCAACCAAAATAATAATTAGTAAAATTAAATTAATAAGCCAGTACCACTGCTCGCGAGCTTCTATGTTTTAAATTGTTTCCATAAAATTATGTTAACACTCGCACAATTTCTACTGCCGCCTAGGCGCAATAAATACTTAAAAAATCCACAGAAACTTCAGTTTTTATCAAAACTTCTTTAACTACCTATGTATTCCAAGGGAATTTTATTGGCTACAAAACAACGTAAAAGAATTTCTTGAAAACGTTGGCGTTGTGACGTTAGAAAACAAAAAGGGGAACCATGTAGAATCGCACTGTACTCATGTTTCTTGCATTTACGGAAGAATAGAATTTTGTTTTCGTATTCTGTCGACGTACGATGTTAGTTTTTGTTATGCGATACAATTTGATTCCAATAAAAGCGTTGGGATAAATTTTATTCGAAAACTGGAAGGGACGTCTCGCAAGAGGGTGACTGTAAAAAAACACTTGTTCTGAGCAGCATTCGTCTCTCCGAACAGGTTTTGTCACTGAATGCGCCGAATCGCTTGTGGCTACAGTAGTCAGTAGTTCATTGTTTACGATTTTTCTACGCTTCTCAGTTTTTTAATGGGTTTTGCTGTTTCGCATGCATTATTTCCTCTGGTTAGTTTTAAGATTTCAGTCATTTCACGTTTGGAAATTTCAACTGCTCGCGAGGTCAACCTCGGAACCACTACATCATGTGATGTGGCTCACGTAGGATAATAACTGGATGACTATTTACGCGTTTATCATGGTTATTTCGTCCTAACAGCACACTGAAGTCCTTCGTTACGATTATTATCTCTAGTGGGCTTCAGAATTTTACGAGAGTGCTCACGTTTTTTGAAAAGACATCATATTGTCGACTGCCATAGCGTTGAAGTCAACCCCTTTCTAATTTATGCTTCGTGGGTTCGACGATTAACCTGGGCTATACTGCCGTGTCGAAACCTTGTTGTTACCTAAGTTTTTACTACATTATCCTGGACTGCCGTCAGTTATCAGCAGACCTTGAAACCTTTTTTGTAGATCTGGGAGTTGACTCCAGATAGCACGACATCATAGCTGCTATCAAAAAAAGGAACCTGAACACACTTCGAACACTGCTGGGGCTGCTCAATCGCTTGTCATTGCAATAATAGTGTTGCAGCACTGGAATTGTAGTTTACGAATGGTGTCAGAATACGTTGGAACCAAAACGGGTCGACCAAGGCACTTTTAAATTTTCATTGGAATGTAATAAAAGTTAAAATCGTAATGATCGGCCAACGTAAAAATATAAACAGCTAAGATACTGCAAAATAGAAATTCGAATTGGAATTTAAAATTTGGCGCAAGTGCCTGGAAGTCTTGTAAGACAGCCGGAAATGGGCGTATTGCAAGAACGTGATTGGCGCTGCCTGGCCGGCGCACAGGAAAAGCCGACGTAAATCGAACGTGAAATTGTGCGAGTGTTAATTGTGTTTCGGGTTTGGCCCATCAATAATTAAATACTTTATAGCTCTCAATTTACTTGTACCTGCAAGCGAACCACCAAATATGAGTGTGCAGAAAAATTTTTTTCTAAGGAAAACACTTAGACATGAATAAGCCTTCAGCAAGTGCGGTGGTTGTATTTTGCCAAGGCGCTGTACTGTTTAAGCTGCCAACTGCCAAGCCTAATTAATATAGCATATCACAGACGTGATTTGTGATATACGTATATATATATTTTTAATTGTTAGTATAGAGTTCATGTTGCAATTACAGCAGACAGATAAGAAAAGCTGGAACAAGCTGTTCCTAACTTCCGCGTCTGTCTATTTTTTAAAGGGGAAAGATGGAAAGTAGACAACAATAGTAATGTTTCTCTCACTTTGCCAGTTCAGTTGCCTAGTTCAGTTGGCCATCAGACCGGTGTTCTAACGTCAACAGCAACAAAGTGAACAAACTGTACAGTAAAAAGCAATTTTCACAAAATTTTTTGCATTTATTCATAATCAATGCAGTTGCGAATGCCTACGTATGGGTTTCCGTAGGAAACGTACCAAAGATGTTATTAGCATATGCCTTGTGATTCATTTTTATTGCGGCGCTTTGTGCAGACGTCAATACAGCGTGACCTTTTAAAATTTTTGTTCCGGTTCTTACTCATGCACTTGGTGCTTGACCATTGCGGTTAGCGCTGTACATGATAAATTGACTGTGTGCTGGTAACATTTTCAAAAATTATAGAGTTGACCAACCATTCCGAATGTGATTCCTACGTGCAGTGTCACATTTTATGTGGCATCTGCCAGGTTTCATCGCTTGCCAGTTGCCAGAGACTCCAGCTTTTATCGCATGCCATGCCATTGGCAGTGCCACTGGCAGGTGCCACTGCCACGTTTTACCCCCTGCCCAATTCAACAACTGAGCAGAAAAGCCAAATGCCGGTCAACAATTTGTCGGTCAGCCGGTTGTGTAAGGCAGCAACATGCCGGTCATCAAACTGTCGGGCAGCGAATTCAAGGTAATTGAGGAGCTATCGCAAGCAAGGCATCTCCACAACCGTTTTTGTCAATGACTGGTAGTCTGGTAACGATATCGACATTATTAAGTTGTCCCCATGAGTTTCCAGCAAACCACAAAGGTTCAAAACACCACAGTAAACCAAGTTTAAGTAAACCATGGATCTCGTTTGTTGGGGGTGCAAAAAAAGGAAGTTTAGGCTCGATAACTCATGGCTGCTCATCTCGGCGTTATCTCTGCATAACGCCATGTAAATTTCGGCGTTTCAGTCTTTGTTTACAGAAAAATGGAGAAAAATCTTGTACTGACTGGAAGGCAATTTAGGCCGATCATGTCCTGTTCTAAAAGCCAAGTGATTAACAACTGAAGGTTTCTTATCAGACTACTGACGTTAGCGACACAGACATTGTAACACAAAACGAAACTGGAAAACCAGAAATACCAAACAGTCACACGTAATCTCCGCGCTGCAATGTTTGCAGTTAGAACACAAAATTTAAAAGGTCAAATTCCAGCTGTACGGGCCTGTTTAGGTTCTCTCCAAAGTAGTTGTTGTTGCTGTTCTGTTCTTCTGGCGACTTATCATCCCGGTGATCGCAGGCGAGGATCCTTCAAAAGGCTCCCAAACATGTTCATTGTTGAGGGCGTGCATGTCGACGCCGGTATGCAGGCGCCGACGGCGCTGCGAACATATCCCGGTAGGCACATGCACCCGGCTTTGCAGAATTTGACGGGGCAATTGGGAGTGCGGTTGCTGCAGGTCGGGTCGCACAGTGCACAACTGCCGCGCCTCTCGTTGCAGTTACAGCCCTGGTTCAGGGATGGGTCGCAATGAGCCGCGCCACCCGTTACCGGGATCGTAACCAGGCCCATGCTACAAAGATTTATAGGTTCAGACTAGAAAACGTAAAATCGGAAGGAAGATAATTATAACTGCTGGTGAAGTATTAATCCCTGATGTCTGGAAAATGCGAGACATACAGTTTATGACGAAACGGTCGACTCCCGGCTATAGCTTTGTTCCGTGTTATGGGCTACCACGCTTATTATTCCAGTTTTTGGTTAGAAAAGCCGGTTTTGTCAAAGTGTTGCTTTGGTCGTGTAAGACACACAATAATACTGAGCAATGCGCCATGTACAGAGTACACACGTACGCTTTGTCTCCAAGCGGTAAAGTTGGTTTAAGCAGAATCGTTCGTTATGAAACAGAATACTCGGTGTGGGAGCGCTCGACCATTTTCTCCTGTCTATTAACCCGGTCGACATCATGCATGCCAATTGGCACGGTGAAGGACCAAATTTCTGTTAGTTGTTCTAGCGCTCATACAGTGTGTTTGTTGGTTCCGTTTCAAAGAAGAAGAGTGGAAGTATGGTTTAAAAAATGAAATTGCATAGTACAGCAATACTACAGAGTTGTGGGAATGACCAAAGGTGGACAAAAGCTACCAAACCAGGTTCGCGGAGGTCAGCCACCCGCCCAGAAACTCGAGCATGAGATAATTACGCAAAAAATCATTCTTTAAGTATGCATAGGACTTTATTCAAAAATGAGCAGGTCGTACTTGCACAGGTGGACACCGTCCGACCACGATCATTCTAAAAATCTGTGCCAGTTTTGGCACGCATGGGTTTGGTACTATTTAATGCCAGAAGTTTGAAATTCTGTATAAAAACATCGAATCAAGATAAAAAATTGCACGTACAATTAAAAAATCTCACTAATTTAACCCTTTTTAGTGGTCGTAATTCAGTGGCCATCAAAGTGACCAGTGGTCACTCAAGGTGAAAAAATCTCTAAAATCGCCTTATTGGAAATAAGCCCGAAAATTAAGAAAACTAGGCACAGACATACGCACTAACAATTGTTTTTGGCATTCCCGTAAGTGCGTAAAACCACCTGTATTAGGGCGTGTACTTTTACTAAAAAATGTGCAACTAAAAAATAAAAAAGTTTGCATTTTGGTGTCGCTGACGATGCTATATCAGCGCATGAACAAGCGTAACTGCCGGATTAACAACCACCTTGTAGCCTCGCCGTATCACAACTTTTGTAATGACGGGAATTGTGTAATGGCACTTCAGTTCTTTTAATTTATATACTCTTAAGCACTTTACGAGTGCACACATTAAATGCATTTTCTGTTAACTAATCCAAAAGCAGTTAATACATATCCGGAAACTTCCGGTCAGTACACAAAGAGTGTCCATTTCTGCAGTTGACTTAGCTGCTTTCTAAGTTAGGGTAAATAAGTCTCGCCGATTTTCGTTGCGTCTAATTAATACTTAATAATTAGAAAACATTCAGCATTACAATAGGTTTAACATTATCGCCATAATAAAGGTACTTACATTAACGTAAATTCTGTTCCATCAAGATTGCATAGCGAAATGGTCCTCTACACTACTGCCCAGCGTCTGGCGTTGTCTCTGACAACGCCAGTCCATGACAGCCGCAGTCCAGCACAGCGAACTGAGACAGCTGTATGCATTTATTTATCAAGCAGGATCAAACGGAGCGCTGGTCAAAGTAAAATGCTGTTTGATATACTTCGCGCGTTTCCTCATAGACAACGTTTTTGTGCTTGCATAGTGCTAACCGATTTTTCCTTGATCATAAGCGTTTCTATCTGTTTTTCGTGATATACTGACCACTTTATATCATGTTTGTGGTTTGCCAGCTATGATCGGCAGTTTTAAACATTTTTCATTCTGCTGACCACTGGTCATCCTGCTGACCATCTAAATTACCTAACTGAATAGCGCTCTTCGAGGTGTTTCACTTAAGCTAAACTATGCTCGTGTACGATATTTTTGTGAATTGTCATTTGAGTAAAACTATACAGTGCCAATTGGCTCAGTTCCCATGCGTGCCATTTTGGCATCATAGCGTCCTGCTTGACCTATGGTCACAAAAATTCAACAAAAAATAATTTTTCTTAATTGAATTATTTGGTCGAAGATTACCAATTTTCAATCCGGTATTCCTATCCCTTCTGGTACCCGGCGTTAGTAGGTTAAGGCTACCACGGCAACAGCATTCTGTTAATTACCAAATGCACAGCTTCCTTACCGGCCTTCCGTGGGATTCCCACCAGATTCCGTAGGGTTCTGCGCACTGATGCTTCCATTGAACAGGATTACCGCGCCGCTGATGACAGCAAGCGCAGTTGTGCGTTGCAGCAGCATTGCGGTACAACTAATATCTAGAGAAAGCAATGCCGTGAGATTTGCGCAAGGGTACTGTACGGGCTGGCTGAAAGAAATAAATTCAGCAGAGTCGGATGTCGGTAGTATTTATGCGCTCTGGTGCAGTGCTCGCAATTTCTGGCTGTTTTGGCCGTCAGGCTAATGTCTGGTCGTAGTAATTGAATTTGGCGCATCTCGAATTCGTCTGGAAATTCACCGTTATTGGACAACCTGCGGGTAAAATATATCGAGTCATAAATCGCTGCCTTAATCAACTCAAGTACTGCAATGTCGTTTGATTGACTAAATAATGGAAATTTTATCGTCAATGATTCGACTGGCTTTTTCTGTTTGCTAAGCTGGTTGGTTCCAACAAATTGATCTTAACGGAGCAACAAATGAATTTTAGCTGTCGCCCAAGGCAGCAGACGCGCATGTGATGCTGCACTGAATGTCATTAATTCTGCAGCTGAACAAAACTGCATTTCCTAGTCGGCTTAGCAAAAATACTGTACCGGGGATTATAAATTTACAATTCAGTGTGGAAAGTCTCATAAAAGCCTCAAGAAAGTACATCCATAGAGGCAAGCACATTCGGTAATAATTTTTCGGAAGTATTCCCTGCAGAAGATCTTTATCGTAAACCCAACACGATCTAAAAATCGTAACTCAAATACGCGCAATAAAAATACAATAAAATTTTTGAATGCGTCCAATACGATTTACGAATACAGAGATTCGAAGGCTTTCGGCACCGGAACGAGGTAGAGCGGCAATTCAGACACTTATGTCGCATTACCGTTATTATCCTCGATCATGTTATACATGTACTCATACAGTGATCTGTAATTGTCCATGAAATCTGTAAACCATGGAATCAGATAAACTTTCCGATAGAAACGCCCTCGAGAAACGCCCGTAGAAATCTTAGTGAGATGTATCATCTTGTTATGAGACCACCCCGACCAGCATCCTTTGTCCAACCCTTGGAGGACACATTGTGGGCCACTAAACAACTTTGCCGAGCGCGGCAAATGAAATGCCTCATCCAACAAATTGTCTGCAGTCGATCGGCGAGAAAATGTTATGCTGCAACAGCCGAAAAGGTTAAAAAGAAAACTAAAGTGCCACAGCCAAATGCTTCTAAATGCTGAATTTATGTTTGTTAACTGCTCCAACTCAACATGGCATTGTTGTTTAAAACGATTGGACAGGATTCCAATTTTCCGCTGCACTACGATTTTTATTGACTTGAGGGTCAGAAGCAACTTCAAGCAGCACTGCTGCATTTTGCATCTACCTTTGGTTTACGTATTTTAATCGCTTAATTCTTTCTTCATTATTATTAATAAGTGTCGCTTTCTAGCAAAAACGAGTCTGGCCTGTTGATCCATCGCGGCGAATGATGTAATAGTTAATATGGGTGCTGGACTTGCAGTAGTGAAACAGGAGGTACAGTATTTATTCAACAGTTAAGTGCCGACGAATGTACAGAGAGTGCGGTTTCTGCTACGAATCTTTTACTCGGCTGCTTAGGAGATCCGAAAATTAACTACCCAATTGTTTTAGTCGCTAATTTAAATTTTTGCAAACTGAAATTTTCCGCCATCACGTTTTACAGTTCATTCAGAGTATTTTCCGCTTTGTATTTCTCATTGCATTATCCGTCGCTGGAAAAAACGAAACGAGAAAAAACGCTATGCAAACAGTTTTGCAATGAGCAGGAAAGACCCATCTAAAGTATACGTATCGGGGCCCAAGGATGGCACCGCGTTTACTTTAGCAGTTCCATCGGCAAAATGCTGTCGTAGTTCCTCTTGCTATTCGGTATATTGTCGAAGGCGATCAGATCTGGATGGCGAGTAGAGGATTGATTAGTTCACTGCGTACTTCTTTCTACGCCCGTCCGGCTTTGTATCCAATCCAGTTTTGCATCCAGCTCTTTGCTTTATGTCATCTACCCACAACGGCGAACGCTATTCAACAATGAGTATTTTGCCACGTGATAGTAAACTAATAATGTCGGTTGATCTGTATGCGCAGTGTCTGCTTGACAATATTGCGATACTGAAAACCTGACAACCTTCTTGCGATCGGCGTAAAAAGTATCGCCGAAAAGCACTGACATAAAACATTTTCTTTAGAATTTTTATTTATTGTGTTTGCGTTTGCGGTAATACACCTTTATTACTATTTAGCTACGAATATCGGCAAAAAAGGTACAAATTAAATGAAGCAGTATAAATGCTGAGACAGAAACATTAAGATTTTGCGGTCTAAACCCTGTTTTTGAAGTTTACCCTTGCAAAAAAAAAAGCTGCTGTGTGCCATCGGCCATCGTTCTACGATGTTCTGTTTATCACTTTGCATTGATTTTGTGGAATGTACTGTATCAATGAGCATTATGTTTTATGAGGGAAATAAATGATCGATGATTTTCGGAAATTTTCAAACCAAGAAACACCTGTAGAGGAATTTGTTTTGTTAAAGTATTTCAGTTTCGCGATGTCAGGATTAATAAATTTTCGGTATAGCATAGCGGCTGTAATCGACAAGAGTCGACGTACTGTTACTTCTACAACTTTCAACCAGCATGTCATAATACAGTTACCTACGACCAGCCGCTGTAAAATTAAGTAAATCATAAAGTGGAAACCCAACAGAATTCCGTTTCAACACCTTCATAAAGTAATACATGTATCTATCGCGCTTTTCTAAAGACATACATATATTTTCTGAATACATACATCGGTCGTGACATGCTATACGGAAGTCGCACCGCGACAACCGCACTAGATGACCAAACCTGATATCGGTAGAGTGGGAATGTGCTCTCCACTCCGTAACTGGTACTACTACCTACTTCCGCTAGGTACGAGCGGATAGCTGCGCCTAACGAAAGTTACCGAAACCGTTTTTCGCATACGGTACCTGTGGTTACTGAGCTGTAATTACCAAGATACTAGCGGTGGTTGCGAACCACCTCGTTGCACGAGCGCGAGTGCCACTGGGTAATGATATTGGGATTGTGGAATTGGAAAAGCGTGACGTACGCTCTTCGTGGCGTCAGACAAATTTTATGCTCTTGAGTCTTGACGAAGACTTATTGCAGCACCTCGCGCTTCGCGCTCGGTGCAAATTAATAACTGAGAGCTCTGGGATAATTACGTAGACGCTGGTAAGGATTTTGTTGTTGCGATCCTATGTTGTTATTATTATAACTCTTTTTACCGTTGGAGAAAAACCTCCCCAAAAAGATTGTGTTCGACTAATTTAAAAAAACTATTTTCTCGTAGATCGCTCACGTTTTAAAGCAAGCAGTTGAGGATAAACTGCATGATTTGTTATGCCGAAGAAATTAGGCCACGCCGGCACGTGTTTTTGATAGTTTGTTGTGTAAGTTGAATAGGTCCGATGCGTGGATTATGCATGGTTTGCGTAGTGCAGTGGCTACTGCTGTATTCGTAGGTTCGTTGAAATTTGACAAAGTCACTACTGATAATGAGAATAGGGCGCTCTCAACTGTTTGAGTTAGAGTTTCTCCTTTTTTTCTCTTCACATTATCGACCAAAATTTTACAATTTTACGGTCAAATTAAATAGACCGTTCTGCGATCAATAACCGGCATTGTCACGTGTCGCTGGGAGCGGATTGGACGAGTATTTTTGGTTTGGCAATAAACACAGAATCGCAGCTGCTACTCACCGTCAGAAGTTAGCTGGTTATTATTGCAATTTATTACATCTATCTTTTTTATTGCGTAAAGATTTTTCTACTAACTTCTATTTCCTGTGAAATTTAATTAATTTCTCGATCAAATGAGCAAATCTGACCAGGTTGAGCACCGCCGCAAAAAAAAACGAACAGTCTGACAAAATCGGAATTAATCACAGGCTCGCAGCTATTAAACGGACAAAAACCGACGAAATTGCTAAATGGCAAAAATATACATAAAAGGACAATATGCCGGCATAAAAATTCTAGTCGGCGGCATTTTCTCCAGTCCATTCCTCCATCTCGTAGACGCTGGATTCGCCGTCGGCACGGCTGTCCTCACAGGCTGGCAGGTGATCCGCGTGCGCCGTGTCGTCCGGGGCGGATGCAGGACGGCGCTCCGCCGCATCCATCCAACGCGACAAGGCATACAAGCAGATGCGATTCAGCTGGTCCACATCTGCGCTGACCACATTCTCCTCACTCCACTGGCGTCCGCGATAGTGTGCCGAGGGGCGCGGATCGCAGGACTGCAAGTCCCGAAGGATCTGCACTACATATATCTTTTCTTCCAGCACAATTGGTTTCCTTGTCTAACTCCATTTCAAAATTTTCTAATTTATTTTAATTTATACCAGAATAACTTTTTTTTTAGTTTATTTCTGAAATAAAATCATAAAAAACCAAGTCATTATTTTTTAACAAATAGCAATAATAAACAAAATGAAAACTTCGTTTTATCTGTGCGATGAAAAAAGGAACTTCTGTTTAATTACTATTTAAATAACAGCACCTGCACATCAAAAATTCGATTAAATTCAGTGCCGATTCAGAAAAATTCAGTTAAATTCGATTAAGTTCAACAAACTAGTGCAATGAAATAAATGTTGAAGAAAACACCGAAGTTATTACTGTTTCATTTATTATTAGAAAAATTATCATCTCTCCATTTTAAAATAATTCACAAACAGCCCGAATTCGTTGGAATTTCCAGTCTAATTAAAGCCGTACAGTAATTACGATCTTAAAACGTTTTACGTGATACTTTTTAACACAGCACACTAGCCGTTTCTACCTTGATCATTGGCCACGCGTCCTTCCCGCTCTGGCAGGCAAGGGCCAGGCTACCGACGATGCGCTGCAAATCCAACGGCGGTCCCGTCCAGTGCAGATGCCGCTCCAAGACCTCCACGATGCGCGCCGCATCGGCCTGTCCCGGGGTGAAGACGGCAGCGGGAATGCGGAACTCCATCCAGGGCGCGCCGACTTCATCCGGCAGGGTGAGGACGTAGCCCTTCCAAATCACCCGGTCACAGCACGCAAACAGTTGGGCCAGGTGCGCGGCCGTCTCGGCGGCCATGCCGGCCAGGCTGATCGGGGCCCCGCTGGCGTACAGCGCCGCCGACGCCCCGACCTCCA